AGTTCCATGGGGAGTTCTGCAACAGGGATGAACATCGTGTGATACCTGAGTTGGAGTTGCAAGCATTTATACTTCCATGCAGATCATGACCTTCTATGATCTTGAATGAGAAGCCTCTTTCAGCTCCTCGGAGGAGGCTGAGAGCCGAGGGCTGCCTACCAGCAGCAGTCCTAGGAGAATATTCACTATACTTCTGATCAGCACAGGATCCACCACAGTCCACCCCTTGACCGCTGGGATCGACCTCACCCAGGTTCTCCAGAGTGGTTCTTCCACCATCCTGGTGTGCCTCTCTTCCTTGGGGACACTGAGAAGGGAGAAATTAAAGTCCCCACCGCTGCAACTCGTCCTGGGCCCCGACTGGTATACACTGTCTTCCTCCTCTTCTCTTCCAGATTCCCCTCGCTCTCGGCCAGCACCTCTGCTGGTCTTGGTGGTTGTCCTGATGGCATGATCCACAGTCTAACCTTGCAGGGGTCTCAGCCTTGGGTTACCATGCCTTTCACAGGCCAGGTATGACCCTACCTGGAGGGAACTCTTTTTGTCTAGCATCCCTTGGCATGAGGTGCCCAGCATGCTGTACTGTGCAGTTAACGGGACCCTTGCTGTGTCACCTGTTGGAGGTGCTCAGCCTGTGAGAAGCTGGAACTGAAGCTGCAGGATCTGGGTTTCCGGCTCTGTAATCAGGCTCCCCAAGTGGCTCATCAGAAGTAGCCACCCCTCTTCCTTGTTTCCCAGACTCCCGCATTCCACCTGCCAGGGACGCAGGACTATATGCAGGCCTTTGATTGAAAGTGGGCCCTGAATTCCGGAGGGGGGCGCCCCATTCTTGGAGAGCATCACCTGCAGGACTGGGAGTGGGGTAAGTGATGCCACCACTGGACCCTGCAGTCTGTTCCCACACCCCCTCTGCCGCCAAGGGTGCCCCTTGGGCTGACACAACACAACGCGACCGGAGCGGCCTACAGCTTGGCCCTACCCTAAGCCAGGCTCCCCTACACAGCTGTCCCCAAAAGCAGAGCAAAACTGCTGCAGGCTCAGACTCTCATTTCCATTTTTAGATTTTTAAAGCTAAGCCCAGAAGCAGAAGCACTCTGAAAGGTAGCTAACCCAGACCCCCACCTCTCCCCTGACCCCCGCCAGGACGACCACGCGGCGAAGGTGGCGGTCTCACCAGCCACCCGCCAGCCGCCAGGCCCGGGTTCCTCCAGCAGGGCAGCAATTCACTGGAGCCTCCGAGGAGACTCCCGACTTCCTTCTCGCCACATCCAGAATGCCCTTTAGATGCCTGACAGGCCCGAGATAAAGAGGGAAGGGAATTGAATCAGTGTCCACTTTGGTCTTCAAAACACATCTGATTCGCCTGCCTGTGAATACTGGTGGCTTCATTTCTGACACAGCGCCGCAGAACGCCCGGGCTGCGCGGGAGGCTTCTCGGAAAGACTCCCGATTCTCCCCCGCCGCTGCCGCTGCTGGGACACTCGTGCAGCTTTTCAGTCAACAGTCCTGGACCTGGCACCGGCCCTGCTAACGGCACGACCAGGGCTGTGTGCCGAGTCCGTGGCTTTTCCAACATCCGCGTCTATGGCTCTCGGCTGCATTTCCTGTGCAACGCACCACAGTGGGACACGCTGCTATTGGCGTGAAACCCACACTCTGTTGGAATCACAATTCACGCCGGGGTCAGGCTTTAAAGCTAACAACTGAGTCAAAAATTATACCTACAAAAATATTTAAATGCCAAAAAAAAAGTCAATAAATGGATGTAGCCTGTCTCAATAACCCAGCACAGCCAAGGTTTCCCACAGGGTGGCGAGCTGCAGGTGACGCCGTTGGCTTGTGTTTGAGGCCGTGGGTGTGTGAAGATGTAACTTAGTCTCACGGTGCAGCCAGGCCAGTGCAGGGGGCAAACTCCTGGGCCACGAGCCTGGCACAGACTGCTGTTCGCCTCATCCCTGGAGGTTGGGCGTTCGCGAGGGGGCAGCATCGCCAGGAGCTTCGAGTGCGTTCCCTCCTCCTCCGCCCCTTCTCGCTCTCTCTCTCTCCCTCCTCTCTCTCCCACCCCAACTTGTAATTAATCCAAATGCATATTAACTAAATGTAAGCATCAGAAAACTCTTCCTTCTTTTGCTGGCATGGTCCAAGTTTGAAAATAAAGGTCTGTGTCCCAGGCAAACCAGGACAGAGGACCACCTTAATACCACGCACTAGCTTGGTGACCTTGGGTGAGGACCTAACCTCTGGGAGGCTTACTTTTCTTTTCTGTGAAATGGAGCTAGTAAGACCAAGCAGAGTAGCTGTGGGATTGTCCCTGAAACAGCGTGTGCAAAGGTTAAAGGACAAAGCGCGGGTCTAGTAGGCGGTGGGGTTACCAGGCCCCTTTGCAGGGAGACGGGGCAGGTTCTAAGCAGCAGCCACTGCAGGCTGGAAAGCACGCTTGGAAGGATTCGGGTAACTGTGTTGTCTGTCTCTCTGAATGCAGTGGAATAAAAATAAGTGTTGACGCCCTTAAGCTGCTTTGCATTAACATAGTTTATCTTTCGAGTTTGTGCCGCCACCTGTTCCATTTTCTCATATTAAAAAAAAAAAAAATTAACTCCATCATTTTTTACCTTGCCTACTTTTAAAGGGTTTAATCATTTTATTTTTTTTCCTCACCTCCAGGCCTTCCTATTTTTAGCCTTTAACATTTTTTTTTCCTTCCTCCTTAATGTCAGAGCTGCTTCCAGCCCATTTATTAAAAACTTTATATCCCTGTTCTCTTGTTCTTTTAACTCTGGTTTTCAAAATCCTCTCCTTGTTACCTTGCGGAGATCCGCCTTCTCCTCTGGTTACTCGTCCCTTCTCAGGGACCACCGACGAACGCGGGATTTGATGGAGGTTTTCCATCGCTCGGGCTCACCGGTCATGGCCTTGCCAGCTGGGTTCCACATGGCACGTCCTTGTCTTCCTGTTTCTTCCATTTCCACGGACGCGTACTCCACTGGATGGCTCTGCCAGTTGATCAACTTCCTCGCGTGCTATTTATAACTCCTCTCTCCAGTTGGCATGTACTATTTATAAAGGGCAGGCAGGAAGGCGGTCACGGGCGCCAGCTGTGGGGCGAGCCCGCAGCCCTGCCAGGGCCAAGGCCGTGCTTTGTGTTCCTCCCGGGCTCCACTGCTCCCGCGGACCCTCCCTTCGCTCTCATCCCCTTGTCACCGGGTCCTCCAGAGCCGGTTCCCCGTCTCAGCTCCGCCTCCTGCCGCGTCACAAGAGATCGCGGAGCTTAAGCCTGACCGTGTTGTCTCCCTGCTCGGACGCTCAGTGAGTCACTGTTGTGGCCCGAGAGACCACGCAAGCGGTGGCGATGACCAGGACCACACGCGGTCAGTACCTCGTGAGCAGGGACAGCGATGCAGGCCTTTCGATGACTGCTTTCCTCGATTCTCCAACAGCGATTTGGGAAAGTGTTTCTGTCTTGCAGGGGGGAAATCTGAGGGCCAGACAATGAACTGGGCCAAGTTCACATGACAAGTAAGTGGCACTGATGGGCGCCCAGATCGCCAGTCACTGGGCTAGACTGTGGAGATCTACAGAGGTCACCCAACAAACTCTTCAGTATCCACCTCTTCAGGAGGGGGGCGGCCTGCCTTGGCCACCCTGCAGGGACATGTCAGAGATGGGACTTGAGGCCATTCTGTCTGAGTTCAGAGTTGGCTCCCAAATCCCCTCCACTGTTCCCTGCATAGTAAATAGTGGACATAAACACTCTTTGTAAACTAACATAAATACAAAAGATTTTAATACTCCATGGTCCTCTAGACTGTTTTGTCACCTGGAGGAAGAAATCTGTAATGCATCATTTACGAAAGAAACAGAAGATACATATTATACCATAGACTAGTATTTAGGGGGAAATGGCCTTATAGTAAAATATATATCCAACAATTATTGGGTATCAGTTACCCGCTAGGCACGTTCATATATATTCACACGTATGCTATATAAATATATGGATGTAAATACATGTACATTACTTCTGTGAGGCCAAGGTTGATTGCCATTGTTCAGATGAGAAAGTTGAGGCTCAAGAAGGCATAAAGAGACTTGCCTAAGGTCAGATGCCTGGTAAATGGTGGAGCTGAGGGATGCAAACCCAGGTCTCTGGTTACAGAAGCTTCAGCACCAGGCAGGTGCAAAGGCCTTTGGTGGGTGGCTGCATCACTCACCTGACTTTGCCAGGACCCCACAGGACCTGAGCGCCCCCAAGGGGTGGCAGAGAGTATCACAGCCTCCCTATATTTCCTCATTCTCCAATGTTCAGGCTCCCCTCCCTTTGCCCAGCGTGCAGCCCCTAATGCTCAAGTGTGGACCCGGTGAAGACAGACCTAAGTCTGAAAGCAGAGAGGCCTGAACACAGGCACATTTCTCCAGCTGTAGGAATGGCTTGTGCCAACACACCACAGCTCACCAGGAGCGTAGGCTTTGGGGTTAAGAGTTCAGCCAGGAGATTTTGGTGCCTAGGAGCTGGTTGATGGCACTGGAAATGTAAAGCAGCAGAGACATTTGACATCTTTTCTTGAGTTGAGAACATTCGGACTTGGATGCTCACTAAGAAGACCCGAGAGCACCAAGGTCAAACGCAATGAATACCTTTCTGCTTCTTAGTAGTCTCTGCCCCTCCCTCTCACCTGGTTCCCAGCCCTTCAAAAGGCCCAAACCATCAGCCAGGGCGAGGTGAGGTTGAGCCAGGAGGAGAGAAGAAGCCCCGCCTTGCTTCGAATTTTCAGTCTGGGTTCAAATCCAGACTCGGGGAGGGAGACGCTTCAAGGGAGGTCCCTCTGGGGGGTGACATCTGCCAAGATCTGAATGAAGAATGTGGTTCTGTGAACCTGCTCCTACGCATTTGGATTTTTACCTTAAAGATTCACCTTGGAAACATTGATTTATTTATTCTCTTGCCCCCACACAGCTCTTCTCGGAACCAGCTGACCAGGCCGCTTGCGATTCTGTTTCAGGTGGTGGCCCAGGCAGTGCTCTTCATGTGCATGAACACGGCCGGCATCTTCATCAGTTACCTGTCAGACCGCGCCCAGCGCCAGGCCTTCCTGGAGACGCGGAGGTGTGTGGAGGCCCGGCTGCGTCTGGAGACGGAAAACCAGAGACAGGTACCATGGGGAAGGCGGGGCGTCCTGCTATCCCCTAGCCCGCTTCTGGATGACATGGGGCAGCACTTCTGCCCAGACACATCTGGACTTGCAGGTGTTCTTTCAAAGTCTGTCTCATGGGATTCCAGAGTCGAACAGAATTACGGTAGCCCAGCCAGTGGGGCTCAGTGGTTGAGCATCGTTTCATGTACCAAGAGGTCTCTGGTTTGATTCCTGGTCAGGGCACATGCCTGGGTTGTGGGCTTGATCCCCAGCAGGGGGCATGCAGGAGGCGGCTCATGATGTTGATGTTTCTCTCATGGATGTTTCTATCTATCCCTCTCCCTTCCTCTCTCTCTAAAATCAATACAAAACATATACAAAAATAAATAAACTAAAAGATAAAATAAAATAAAACAGTGATGGTAGATTCTCCACACTCGAATAATTGTTGCCCACAAGACATAAAATGATTCTAGTCTCAGAGTGATTTCCTGATGCTTTTGACTGACATCTATGTCTGTGAACAAGGCGATGGTCTCTGAGAACCATTAAAATTCTCATCTTTGACCCTCCTTTTGTGAAACTGTAAAGTGCTGTTTCGAATAAAATTGCTTGCTTCATAGCAATTCACATTATAGGAAGCTCATAGGAGAATTCTATACATATGTGGTTCCTAAAACCTCCTCCTGATTTTCAGAAGAGGTGACTGAACATATAAAATTTATGGAACCTAACAGATCCCAGGACAAGGGGGTGCAGGAAGGGAGCAGGTTCGTGAGGGTAGGAACCACAGGTTCTAGTCTGAAGAGGTTAAAATAAAGGAGTTCCTCGGGGGGATGTTACAAAAATTGTAAAAATAGCATTAGTCTCAAATTATATGTTTCACCAAAATAAAATTAGCTTTCAAAGAATAAAGATTTTCCCCTATTAAAATTAGTCATCTGTGAAAAACGTGTGCATGCGTGCACCCCTGAAAGCAATTTTCCAAGAGGACTGTGTTGAAAATTGATTATAGAATCAACGTATTTTACACGTACTGTGTTTCTGCATCCTTGGGAGTCTGTGCTCCGTGGATATATTCAACCATACTAGGCTCTTCTTTGTTAAGTAGTCTACGGAGACACACTTATTTTAAGCCTTATGCAATAATTGTTTGAGAAATTATAAAGTCGGTGCAAAAAATGCCACATTTTCTTCATCTGGATTTGAGCAAAACATGGATCTTTGAAGGAGGGAGGCCAGGCCTGTGTGCCGATGGGTGAGGTGGACGGGCCAGGTGCAGCCTGCCAAGGCTCCGTGCCCACTGCCGTACGTTACCGTCGGGCGCACGGAGGAAATGATGGAATCGCCAGCTCCTGCCGGGACTTCTCAGGGTTCAGACCTAGGGAACGTCTCAGTTAATGTCTAAAACCATTACGGGGCCTCGTAACAGATGTATTGTAGTTGCCCTGAATGACCCTGTGATTTAGAGAAATGACTCTGAGGGAAAGAAATCACCTTGACCACCAAACACGAGTGTCTCCGGGGACTCTCTGTTGTGTTCCTCTGCACAACAGAACAGTTGCCAGACGGACACCTTTCCAGGGGACCTCTGCCAGTTCAGAGACTGTGGCCGTATTAATAATTTATTCAACTCTGCTTCGTGCTCTGTCGCAACCAGAACTGCGATTGTGGGTGAGTTGTCTGGGCAACTCAGTCTTTTATTTAATGTTTGTAAAATATTGGAGACACCGAAAGTGACTGCCTTCTTATACCCATAAGGCTTCCCTTCCCACCCTTCAGGGGAGTGTCTTACAGTGACTGATGTAGAAATCTACCATGGTACAAGGACCTTCTCCTGTCCTCTCTAATCTTTGGTGTTTTTAAGTTGGTGAAAAGGGCAAGAAAATAATATACAGAAGTGAGGACAAGTGTCAACTGGAACACAGTGAAAAGCTCACTGAGTTCAGGTCACAGCTATGTGACCTCTTACTGGGGCCACCGAAGCCACTGGACTTTCAGCCCTCGGTCCCTCACCCAGAAATGCGGCGCTGTCTCTCTTTCCAACACTGTGTTTGCCTCAAATGAGATAATGTGTATAAAGCAATACAAAATATGTCAGCCTCATTATAAGAGAAGTTTTCATTGGGTGCAAGATTCAAGGTTCCTCGTTCTGAGGCTGAAGTGAATTGTGCTGTAGGTTTGTTCACGTCCTGCGTTCATGATGAGGATAGAGTATTTCTGGTATACTGGCCGCCCCGCTTCCCCCAGCAGTAGCGTCTAAGATAGTTGGCTCAGGGTCATTCAGCGCTGAAGTTACTTTCCACTGACACTTGATCTCTGCCTCAGGTTCCCACGATCCCTGAGAATCTCCTCAGTGGGGATGGGCAGAGACGTTTTTCAAACCAGACTCCCCAGGATTTAAAATCTTTGCTTAGTTGCTTACCACCTTGGCGAGCTTGAGCAAGCTCTGCGTCTCAGTTTTCTCCACCTGTAGCGTGGAGATGAGAATACCCTCGTGAAGAAGCTCCTTGTTAGAAATACTGTGCGTGGGGTTCTTGCAGCTTAGTGGAGAGTTGCCATTAGCAAGATTGTGCATAATGTTTAATATTATCATTATTATTATGATTGATTTTAGAGAGAGAAAGTGGGGAGAGAGAGAGAGTGTATGAGCAAGTGAGAAACATTGGTGTGAGAGAGAAACATCGATCGGTTGCCTCCCATACACACCCCGACTGGGAATCAAACCCATTTACCTCTTATTAAATCTAATTATAGCAATATCACTGTTATAAATTCTATACTGTGTGAAGGAGACACTGTCCCAAGTTTTGTGCAGTTTTCCAAGCACTGGCTTGATCTCAGGATAGGCTACAAAGGAGATATTTAAATGACTTACTATGTTCAAGCATGAATTAATTGATTTATTGAGGGTCTGTTGTGAGCTGTGAGCTTTGTCGGGCGTTGGGGATATAATGGTCACTAGCAATTGGTTCCTGGTCTGACAGAGTTTACTAGACAGAGAAAGAGATGGGTGACCATGCAGAAACCAATGGGAACGATGTATGGGTCAGACCTAAACTGGAGGTGGACAGAAGCTCACCTAGAAGGAACGAGGCCTGAGTTGATAAATGAATAGGATTTAGCTCATAGAGAAGTGAAGAGTTCCGCATAAAGGTCAAACAGCGCATAAAAACATCCCAAGGAAGGGAGAACGTAGTTTGTTGGGGCAATTATGAGCCCTCCCAGATATCACTTGTCCATCCGTCTGTCCGTCCATCCATCCATCTATCCATCCATCCATCCATTTATGTTGGAGTAGCTACAGAGTCAAGTAAGGCTCAGTCTCTGCTCTGGATTAGGCCTGGAGGTTGGGTAGAACTTCAGTTATTGGAAGAGGAGGAAAGAGTTAGCAACGATACTGATGTTCGATGTATATGATGTGATGCAGCACAACACCGGGGGTAGCCTCTAGCACACTCGTGTCCTTCCTTCAGTGGCGTACCACCACACTTTTCCAGTCACTGAAAAATACACGTATTTATTAGCGCAAACTGCCAGGCATCGTTCAACATACTGCACGTACCAAAGTGAAGAAAATCTGTTCCAGATCTCTATGATGGCATGCCACCCTGGGTCTCAACCACCGCATGCCTGTCTGTGAGGGTAAACTGTGAGCCCCTAAGAGGGACCCATAGCTCATTCTACATCACCCACCCAGCAGGGCCTGAAACCAGGGTGGAATATACAGTTATGAAGAGACCGAGACTGTCGATATTCAATAGTGGTTACTAACTGTTTTCCCGAATAAAAACTGCCAAGCCGTCATCAGAGGATGCGCGGCCATGAGCCATGGCCCCTCTTGTTCGGCGCATGGTTGAGGCCCTGAGCGGCAGGGATTGTCCTTGGCTAACCCGAGGCTGCGCGCATGGTTCTTAAGGGCAATAGCAAGTAGATGGGGGAGCCCAGCAAATGTTAAACGTTTTACTCCGTGTCCTTCTAGAGTAGGCTTTTAACAAAGCTCCTGGAAGGTGGCTCTCTACTTACAGCATCTCTTTCCCCTCCCATAGTAGCTGACCGAGAGCCAGGCAGAAACTACTGAGGGTCCCAAAGGTTGACATCTTTAATCGAGGGGATTGGCCTCAAGAAGCTGAGCACATACTGTTCCTTCAGAGAGGCAAGGACTTTGTTCTTTTCTTTTTAACAATCTTATCACCAATTATATGGGGCACAGAGCACATTAAACATGTCTTGTCTGGTCTCATTCCCCAGCTTTTCTTCCTCCAAGGGGGTCTCCATCCCAAAAGCCCAGTCTGGTTCAGAATCAGGACATTGTAGGGGTTAAAAGCAAAATCTTCGCTGTCTAGAAGATCTGGATTCCAATCCTGCCTCCTGTTCTTCCTGGCTGTAGAAACAGGGGCAAAATATTCCCCTGGAGACCTTGCTTCTGTAGGTGTGACATGCACACGATGATTACTCCTTTCTCCAAGTGGTGAGAAGGAAAGGTTAAGGATGAACAGTTCTTAGCCCAAGGCAGAGGATGTGCTCAGAGAGGAGGTTGTGATGACCATGGCATTGATGTCACTCCTCTTCAGGAAAACCCTTCAGTGGCCCCATTCCCTCCAAGATAAAATCCAAAGCCCATGCATGACCCAACAGGCCCTCCAGGATCTAGCCTGTCCTCTCTCCCAGACACTTCTTCACCACCTTGCCACTCACAAGACCGTCAGCTTCTGAACAGCTATTTCACTACCCTGTGCTGTGTGGTTCACTCAGCCGAAAAACCCACCTCCCTCCTAAGGTCTACTCCAGCATCTCTTCCTCCGTGAGGCCTGGCTCTCCCCAGGTCCAGCTGAAACACTTTTCTCGTGCTCCCAGAATGGCTCTAAGTTAACTCTATTATAAAACCATTTAGAACATTTACTAGTCTGCATTTCTCGCTTTCCTGGCCAATAAGGATTACTTAAAAGGCAGGTCCTTCTGTGTAATTTATCTGATACCCTGGTATTTATTCAGCACAGTGGCTGGCCTGTAAAATC